TTTTTGATGGTTTCCTTGTCAACAAGGCAAACCCTAAACCCTAAACCCTAAACCCTAAACACCAAACCCTAAACCCTAATCACCATTCAAGTCCCGTTGTTGCTGCTTTTTGATGGTTTCCTGATCAACAAGGCAAACCCTAAACCCTGAACCCTAAACACTAAAGTGCGTGTTGTGTGTGTAGAAGTGTTGTGTTGTGTGTTGTTGACTGCCTATGAAGGGTTTAGGGTTTAGGGTTTAGGGTTTGTGGGTTTGTTTGTTTAGGGCTTATTAGTGGTTTAATAACAGCAGGATTTGGCTTAGGCGCTGTTGTGTTTTCGCCGCTGCAGCAGCAGCTGCTAAACCCTTCGGGTGTATCTGCAGCATATCAACCTTATGCTGACTCTCCTCAAGAATTATATTATACAGATAAAACTATTTTAGCTGCTGTACCCTCTGTCTTTCGTCGTCTTGCTGCTGCTTATCTCCTTCTTGTTGTTGCTGCTGTTTGCCTCCTGTCAACCCCTGCCCCAGCGGAGACCAAGCAGCAGCAGCAGGAGCAGCAGGAGCAGCAGATCATGCTGCAGCAGCAGCAGCAGCTAAGGCTGAACGTCTTGCTGCTGTCTCCTCAGTTTCTGCTGCTGTGGAGTACATTCTTGCTTGAGGGGATCAGCATTATATTTGTTGCAAGCTGCTGGAAGCCTCTTGCTGCTGCTGCTGCACCGCAGCAGCAACTCACGGAGCCGCAGCTAGCTGCTGTTGGTGCTGCAGCAAGTGCATTCAATGCTCTAGGAAGAATTGCGTGGGGGAGGGTTGCTGACAGCAGCACTTTTCAACATGCGCTTGTCAGTCCTGCTGCTGCTGCTGCTGCTGCTGCTGCTGCTGCTGCTGCTGCTGCTGCTGCTGCTACGGCTGCTGCTGCTCTTGCTGCTGTTGTTCGTGTTGCCGCTGCTGCTCTAGCTGCTGCTGCTCGCGCTGGAGCTCGTTTCCATGCTGTTGCGTTTGCTGCTGCTGCTGCTGCTGCTGGTTTTGCTGTTGCTGCTGTTGCTGCTTACTCCGTTGCTTCTGCACCAGACATTGATGCAGCAGCAGCAGCAACCGCAACAAAATTTTTTTTATAAAATAAAAATAAAAAACATATTTGTCTTTCTGTGTGTGTGTGTGTGTGTGTGTGTGTGTGTGTTTCTGTCTACCTTTTGCTGCTGCTGCTGCTGCTGCTGCTGCTGTTATTACATGTGCTGCTGCTGTTGCTGTTGCTGTTGCTGTTGCTGTTGCTGTCGTGTGTGCTGGTGTTTCCGCTGTTTCTCTTTCTGCTGATTCGGCCTCTTCTGCTGCTGCTGCTGGTGCTGCAGTTGCTGCTGTCTAGCAGCTGGTGCGTAGGTTTGTTGCTGCTATCGAACGCAGCAAATATTCACTGGTGCGCGTACACCGCAGCAGTTTGCTTAAACTTTTTTTGTTTAGGCGGCAACTTTGCTCTCTTTCCGGCGGGCACCTCATTCCTCTTCGGGAGACAGTCCTTTGGTGAGAAACAGCTGCCTATACACCCCAAAGGAGACAGCTGACACCTCCGTCTCCTTATGACTATACACTCCCTCCTACTGGAACAGGTCCTACTGCTGCTGCTGCTGCTGCTGCTGCTGCAGAAGCAGCAGCAGGAATATTTCTGCTGATGCTGCAGCAGCAGAAGCAGCAGAAATACTCCTGATGCCGCTGCATACACAGAAACCCTCCTGCTGCTCCTCTTGCTGCAGTCCTTGCTGTTGTTCCTCCTCCTGATATTGCTGTTGCTGCTGTTGCTGCTGCTGCTGCTGCTGCTGCTGCTGCTGCTGCAGGTCGGGTGTATGGTTTTGTATTTACTGCACAGCTGGGATCTTCTCTTGTTGGGGCCTTCGCCATCCCCGCATTAACTCAGTGCGCAGCAACTGTCTCCTTTTTCTGTCTCCTTTTACTGTCTCCTTTTGCTGTCTCCTTTTACTGCCTCTCTGTCTCCTTTTGCTGTCTCCTTCTGCTGTCTCTCTGTCTCCTTTTACTGTCGCCTTTTGCTGTCTCTCTGTCTGTCTCCTTTTGCTGACTCCTCCTACTTTCTTTCTGTCTCCTTTTGCTGTCTCTCTGTCTCCTTTTGCTGTCTCCTTTTGCTGTCTCCTTTCTTTATCTTTTTTCTTTGTCTCTCTTCGCTGTCTCCCTTTTGTTCTTTCTTTCTGTCTCCTTTTACAGTCTCTTTTTTGCTGTCTCCTTTTGTCTTCGTGTCTATTGCTGTCTCCTTTTGTCTTCGTGTCTATTGCTGTCTCCTTTTGTCTTTATGTCTATTGCTGTCTCCTTTTGTGTTTATGTCTATTGCTGTCTCCTTTTGTCTTTCTGTCTTTTCTTTTAATTATTATTTTGTCTGTCTCTCTGTCTCTGTCTGCACTTCTTGCTGCTGCTGTTTTTCTTCTTTTATTTTTTTTTATTTACTTTTGTTGCTGCTGTCTCTGACAGCATATTTTGCTGTCTCCTTCTGTCTGCTGCTCTGTCTCTGTCTTTTTGTTTGCTGTTTCTCTCTGCTGTCTCCCCCTGCTACTCCTGAACTTGCTGCTATTGCTCCTGCTGCTGCTGCTGCTGCACTTGCTGCTGCTGTTGCTGCACTTGCTGCTGCTGCTGTGTGTGTTGCTGCGGTGTACAGACACCTGGGTCTTGCTGCTGCTTGCCGCATTGTCTCCGTTTGTTGTTTTGCTGTTGCTGCTCTCCTCTTCTCTCTTAGAGGCAGTTCTGTGTGGAAGCAATTTAAGGCCTAGTCTGCTGCTGCTGCAGCAACAGCAACAGCAGCAGCAACAGCAGCAGTAGCAGCAGCTGTAGCAGTAGTAGCTGTAACAGCAGCAGTAGTAGCTGTAGCAGCAGCAACAGCAGCAGCACTAGAAGCAGGAGTAGCTGTAGCTTCAATAGTAGCTGGAGCAGCAGCAATAGCAGCAGCAGCAGCAATAGCAGCAGCAGAAGATTCGTAGTGCGGGTTTCAGTCTGTTCGCGCTGCTGCTGTCGGGTAGGAGTTGCCCACATATACTAAATGCTGCTGCAGCAGCAGCAGCAGCAGCAGCAGCAGTGGCTGCTGCTGCTGCTGGGGATCTAGTCCAACAAATTATTGTTTGCTGAGGTGTATGTACACCTCAATCGAAACTCTAACCAAGGAGGCCTCCCTCCAGGGCCTCAAAGGCAGGATATGCAGGGATGTTGCTGCTGCTGCTGTTGCTGCTGCTTCTGCTATTATTGCTGCTGCTGCTCCGCAGTTTACTCTTCAGTTTGGGGCTGCTGCTGCATGCGTTTGCTGCTAGTCAACTCCACCAAAGCAGTCGCATGCGACAGGTCCCGCAGTGCCGTCAGCAAGGCCTGCTGCTGCTGCTGCTGCTGCTGCTGCTGCTCTTGCTGCTGCTCTTGCTGCTGCTGCTGCTGCAGCACAGAATCGAAAGCAAGGAAAGCCCCCCCCACCGCCTGCAGCCCCAAAGGGCAGCACAAGAGCATGCGGAGACAGCGGGCCTCCTCACGCGTTAACCCTGCAGTGTTGCTGCTGCTGCTGCTGCTGTTGCTGCTGCTGCTGCTGGGCTTGGTTGCTGCTGCTCCCAACTGAGGCTGCTGCAGCATCTCCAGTCGGCGCAGCAGCAACGCAACATCTACGGGCTGCCACAGACCTGAGGAGACACCCGGGACAGCAGCAGCAGCAAATCCTACTGCAGCAACGTACAGATTCAGCAGCAACGTTGCAGCAGCAACACTGCAGCAGCAACAACAGCAGCAGCAGCAACAGCAGCAGCAGCAGCAACTGCAAACGCAGCAGCTAGCGGTACCTTGAAGTGCCCCAGGCGACAGCACCCACTCAGTCGTGCCACTTCCCTGCTGCTGCTGTTGCTGCTGTTGCTGCTGCTGCCGTTGCTGCTGCTGCTGCTGCTGCTGCTGCACCGCTGCTGTAGACACACGACCCTCTGAAGCTGCTGCTGCGCCTTTGGCTTCCTCTGGGTTAGGATTGCTGCACGCTGAGGCAGAAACAGCAGCAGCAACAGCATTGTCAACAGCAGCATGATCAGCAGCGCAGCTGCAGCAGCAGCAACAGCAGCAGTATTGGCAGCAGCAGCAGCAGATTGAGCATCAGCAAGACTGCGAGGTGCAGCAGCGGAGACAACAGCAGCAGCAGTACCTTTTAGTGCTCCCTCCGTTGCTGTTGCTTTTGTTGTTGCTGCTGCTGATGCAGCAGCAGCAGCAGCTGCTGCTGCTGCTGCTGCTGCTGCTGAGGGGGGTTTAGGGAAGACAGCAGCAACGCGGCGGTCAAATGCAGCAGCAGTCCTCGCAGCAACTTCAGTGAGAAAGAGACGCCCTATCTTCTGATACAAAACAGATCGACACTGCAGCAGCAGCAGCAGCAGCAGCAGCAGTAGCAGCAGTAGCAGCAGCAGATTATATCGGAGACACGAGAAGGCAATACGCAGCAGCAGCAGCGAACATCGCAGCAACACGCAGCACTGCAACAAAAAGCAAAGAGAAACGCATGCCACTCAACAGCAGCAGCAGCAACAACAGCAGCAGCAGCAGCAACTCACGGCGAACTTCGTTGAGAAGTCAATGCTGCACCCAACACCAGCTGGGCCCTCCCTGAAGACCCAATTGGTCTCCTGCAGCAGCAGCAGCAGCAGCAGCAGCAACAGCAGCGTGGCAATCCAACTGCAGCAGAACCAGGTGCAGTAACAACAGCAGCAACAGCAGCAGCACGAGCACCCACAGCAGCAGAAAGAGCAGCAACAGTAGCAACAACAGCAGCAAGTGCAGAAGCAGCACCAGCAAGTGCAGAAGCAGCAACAGCAACAGGAAGAGCAGCAGAAGCAGCAACAGCAACAGGAAGAGCAGCAGCAGCAGCAGCAGCAGCAGCAGCAGCAGCAGCAGCACTTTCGTACAAGGACTTTAAACACTTTGGAGCCGACTGCTTTGCTGCAAATATGCCAGGTGTCTGTACACCTGCAGCAGCAAACCCTAGAAACAAATTCGTCTTCTATAAGCCCTAAAGACAGAGTCAAGCGAGCGTGAAACGCCTCCGGCTGTTTGCTGCTGCTGCTGCTGCTGCTGCTGTTTGCATGCATGCAGCAGCAAGAAACTGTCTCCTCAGACGAAGAGACAGAAGAAGAAGGGACAGACAAACCCAAGACTGCGCTGTCCTGCACCAACACATAACAAACACTAAACCCTAAACCCTAAACCCTAAACCCTAAACCCTAAACCCTGTTCATCCTCCGCCCACGCTGTAAACAACCTAAAGGGTTTAGGGTTTAGGGTTTAGGGTTTGGCGTACGCTGCACCAAGGAATGAAGTTTTTGTAGCTGCTGATGTCTCTAACGACCTTCCAGTACTCTTCTCTCGAGTGTATAGACACCCGGCGCTCTTGATGCTGCAGCAGCTGCTGCTGCTGCTGTTGCTGCTGCTGCTGCTGCTGCCCCCAACCCACGATGGAAGCAGGCAGATCAAACAAATGCCGCCGCTGCTTCAACAGCTGAACCAGCTCCTTCTTCTGTACGTGCTGCTGCTGCTGCTTCAGCTGCTGCTGCACCTGCTGCTGTTGCTGCAGGTGCTGCTGCCAGCCCCACGTGCATGCAGGGCTCACGCTGCGGATTCTGCTGCACTGGCGGCTGTTGTTGATGCTGCTGCTGCTGTAGACGGAGGCATGACGGCTGCTGCAGCAACGAACAGCTGGAAAGCATGCAGGAGCAGCAGCAGCAGCAGCAGCAGCAGGAGCCGCAACTGCAGCAGCAGCAGGCGAGAGGATCCGGGGGAAGGCGCCCATAGCTTGCTATTTGAGCTGCTGCTAACTCGATAGGGTGTCAGTACAGCGCACGCCATTGCTAGTCTCTGCTGCTGCTGCTGCTATCGTTACTGCAGCAGCAGCAGCAGTTGCTGCAGCAGCAGCTGCTGCAGCAACGGCAGCAGCTGCAGCAGCAGCAGGCGCGCCTACAGCAGCAACAACGGTAAAGGCAGCATTGCCTCAGTGACAAGCTATTGCACACATTCCCTGCGGTTGCTGCTGCAGCTGCTGCTGCAGCAGTAGTTTGCTGCTGCTGCAGCAGCAGCTGAGGCAGCAGCAGGTGTTGCTGCCTGTTACGCAGCAGCAAACTGTAAGGGACTGCAGCAGTGTTGCTGCAGCAGCTATTTTAGGTGTATACACTTGAAGATCTCAGGCTTCCTTTAAACCGCTTTAATATTATTATTATTATAATTATTATTTAGGGTTTATTTATTTATTCGTTTGTAGAAGACTCGCCTCTTAGCTGCTGCTGCTGGTGCTGCTGCTGCTGCTGTTGCTGCTGCTGCATGCACGGGGCTGCATGCCGGAGCCGAAGGAAAAAACAATAAATGCAGCTTCTACACCTTTAACAAGAAAAGACTGCAACATAAGCAGCAGCAAGAACAGCAGCAGCAGCAGCAGCAGCAGCCGCGAGGGAGCAGCAGCACTGCCGCGCAGTCCGCCCATAGAGGAGGTGATGCTGTTGCTGCTGCTGCTGCAGCAGCAGCAGCGCATCGCTGCAGCACAACTCGTAGACGCTTAAATCAGGAGCAGCAGCAGCAGCAGCACCAGCAGCGGATGTACAGGGAGCAGCAGCGCCCATGTGTGCTGCTGCTGCTACTGCTGCTGCAGCTTGGCAGCTTTCCCTACGCCTGCGGCAGCAGCAACAGTTGCTGCAGCAGCTGCAGCAGCAGCAGGCTGTAAGATGGATAAGCAGCATCAGCACCGCTAGGGGCGAAGGTAGCCACCGCAGCCTGAGCAGCACTAGCAGCAGCAATAAGAGCAGCAGCAGCAGCAGCAGCAGCAGCAGGGACAATAGCAGCAGCACTGCGGCGTTTGCTGCTGATTGCGATTCCCTCAACGACTTCTGGGCAATGCGGAGGCTGTCCAGCAGTAGCAGCAGCATCAGCAGCAACAGCAGCAGCAACAGCAGCAGCAGCAGCAGCAGCAGCAACAGCGACAGCAGCAGACAGCAGGGGAAGGTTATAAGGTTCTGCTGGCGTCGCGGCTACGGCTTTATTCGTGAGCTACAATTTTGCTGCTTCTGCTGCAGCTGCTGCAGCAGCAGCTGCTGCTGCAGCAGCTGCTGCTTTTGATGCTGTCGCAGCAGCTGCTGCTTTTGATGCTGTCGCAGCAGCAGCTGCTGCTTTTGCTGCTGCTGCAGCCACGCAGAATGGGGTACACGTACACCTCAACGGAGGCTGTGGTGGCAGCAGCAGCAGGAGCTGCTGCTGCTGCTGCAGTTGCTGGTTTGCTGCATAGTGCATGCATACCGCAGCACGGTGGTTTAGGGTTTAGAGAGGCGGTGGCTTGAGAATTCAGCGAGATGATAGAGATGGCAGTCTAGGGTTTAGGGTTTTTGTGGTCTAGGGTTTAGGGTTTTGGTGGTTTAGGGTTTAGGGTTTAGGGTTTTGGTGGTTTAGGGTTTAGGGTTTAGGGTTTTGGTGGTTTAGGGTTTTGCGTGCAGAACCGGAAGAGGGCGGTGCTGGTTTATTTTTTACTGCAGCAGACATCAAGCCACACCCAGGTGCTGCTGCTGTTGCTGCTGCTTTTCCTGCTGCTGGTCTTGCTGCTGCTGTTGCTGCTGCTGGATTGAATGCATTGCTTGGTGCTTGTGGGGTGTACGTACAGAGGATTTGGTGAAGCAGCTCGGAAGGCGTCGCCGAGAAGCCGGCAAAGGCAGCGCAGTTGCTGCTGCTGCTGCTGCTGCTGCTGCTGCTGCCAAGCCTGCAGCAGCAGCAGCAGCAGCAGCAGCAACAACAGCAGCAGCAGCAGCAGCAACAGCAACACCAGTAAGGAACCTAAAGGGCCTCGCGGTGTCTTTTCGTTGCTGCTGGGATGCGCAGCACGGCGCCCCCCGTGCAGCAGATGTCGTGCTGCAGGGGTTTTCAACCCCTAAACCCTAGAGCAGCAGCAGCAGCAGCAACACAGCTGCTGTTGCTGCTGCTGCCAATGGTGGACCTTTTAATCTTTTTAAGTTTGAGTTTCTTCGGGTGTATGTACACCTCAGAGCATGATAGATATCGCCGCACAGACTGCAGCTATAGGCGCCTTACAACAGCAGCAAGAGCAGCAGCAGAGCAGCAGCAGAGCAGCAGCAGCAGAGCAGCAGCAGCAACAGCAGCAGCAACAGCAGCAGAAACAGTAGAGTAGTAGAGGGAATAAAATTAGCAGTCAGTTCGGAGTTTAAAAGCAGAGACACAAGCTGCATGTACACTAGAAGAGGAAGCCGTCGGCAGCAGCTGCTGCTGCTGCTGCAGCAACAGCAGCAGCGGGGCCTCAGGGGCCCCACACCAGCGACCGCTGCTGCAGCTGCTGTTGCTGCTGCTACTTGCAGAAGACAGAGCATGAATAAGAAATTTAAAGAGCATCTGGGAACCAGTAGCTGCTTCTTTTTCTGTTATTGTTGCTGCTGCTGCTGCTGCATCTGTAGCAGCAACACACCGCTGGTGCCGAGGCCTCGGCGGGAGAAGGCAGCAGCAGCAGCAGCAGCAACTGCAGCAGCAACAACAGCAACAGCAGTAACAATACCCTTTTCAACACTTAAGAAACGGGAAGGAGGTGTCTGTCGCTCTGCTGCAGCAACAGTTGCTGCTGCTGCTGCTGCCAACTATGTGCATCTGGCGTCTGCTGCTGTCAGCAGCAGAGCACTCAGCAGCAACAGCAACAGCAGCAACAGCAACAGCAGCAGAAGCAGCTGCAGCAACAGCAGCAGCTTCTTTCAGCACCTGAAGCATGGGCTCAAGAGCGCGACGCAGCAGCAGACGCAGCTGCCGCCACTACATCAGCAGCAGCAGCAGCTGCAACAGCAGCAACAGCAGCAGCAACAACAAGAACAGCAGCAACAGCCGCAGCAGCTGCTGCTGTTGCTGCTCTCCAGTTCGTTTCTGCTGCATCACCACCACTCGCAGAGGCCAGAGTGCAGAGAACTTTGCAGCAGCAGCAGCAGCAGCAGCAGCAGCAACGGCTTGTTCAGCAGCGGCATGACCAGCTACAGCAACAGCAACAGCACGTATAAGGACTGCAGCAACAGCAGCAGCAGCAGCAACTCCAGCAGGTTCAGCAGCAACATCAGCTGCAGCAATTGTAGCAACAGCAGGAAATGCAGCGGCAAAAGGAGCCACAGCAACAGCTGATGCTGCAGCAACAGCTGCTGCAGCAGCAGCAGCAGCTGTTGCAGCAACAGCCGCACGAACAACAACTCGAGCCGTGGCAGCAGCAGGTACAGCTGCAGCGGCTACAACAGCTACAGCAGCAGCAACAACAACAAGTGCAGCAGCAGCTGCAGCAGCTGCAGCAGCCGCAGCATCAGCTGCAACAGCTGCAGCAGCAACAGCTACAGCACCAACAGCTGCAGCATCAACACCTGCAGCAGCAACAGCAACAGCTGCAGCAGCTGCAGCAGCTGCAGCAGCAGCAGCTGCAGCAGCAGCACCTGCAGGAGCAGCAGCAGCTCCAGCAGCAGCAACAGCAGCAGCTGCAGCAGCAACAGCAACGTTTGCAGCAGCAATATGTGCAGCAGCAGTTTCTACAGCAGCAAAACTTGCAACAGCAACAAATGCAGCAGCAGCAGCAACAGCAGCAAGAACAGCAGCAGCACTCATCACCAGGCCAGGCGTTCGAGAGGCAGCAGCAGCAGCAGCAGCAGCAGCATGAGCAGCAACGTATGCAGCAGCTGCTGAAGCAGCAGGAGCCTCTCCAGCAGCCTCAAGAGTGGCTGCTGCAAGACCCTGTTCACCGTGGGAATATATTGCAGCAGCAGCAGCAGCAACAGCAGCAGCAGCAACAGCAGCAGCAACAGCAGCCACAGCAGCAACAGCAGCACTTGCCGTCGCCACTCCAATGGGCGCCTTCATATGACAGGCAGCAGCAAGTGCTGCAGCAGCAGCAGCAACAGCAGCTGTTGCAACAGCAGCAGCAGCAGCAGCAAAGTGCTGCTGCTGCCGCTGTACCGCGGCGAGTCAGCCGCACACTGCGACGCGACTCAGCAGCAACAGCAGTAACAGGGGGAGCAGCAGCAGCAGCAGCAACAGCAGCAGCAACAGCAGCTGCCTCGACGGGGCGCAGGCAGGGAGCGCAGCGTGTGCGTGGGGCTGCTGCAGCCGGTTCGCCAGCTGCTGCTGCTTCTGCTGCTGCTGCTCCGTTTACTGCAGACACGGGGGCAGCGGCACGGCTGCAGCGCAGCAGCAAACCCAAGTACACCCGCAGCAGTAGCAGCAGCAGCCGCAGCAGCAACTCGCTCTGCAGTGGTGCTGCTGCTGCTGATCCTTCAGCTGCTTCTCCTCCCACTGCAGCTGCAGCACCTGAGGGCGCTGCTGCTGTTGCTGCTGCTGCGCCTGCTGCTGTCTCCGCTCCTGCTACTGCTGCTGCTGCTTTGTTTAGGCTGCGTTCTGCTGCAGAAGCCCTAGCAGCAGAGCCTCTAGACAGCGCGTTGCAGCAGCAGCAGCACGAACAGCAGCAACAGCAGCAGCAGCAGCAGCAACCGACGCTGCTGTACACCCCCATAGAAGCGCAAGACTCGAATTGGTGGCAGCAAGGTTGGCATGCAGCAGCAGCAGCAGCAACAGCAGCAGCAGCAAGAACAGCAGCAGCACATCCCCTTCTTCGCGCTCTGCTGGATCCCTCACTTCCTGATGCAGAAGTGCAGCAGCAGCTGCAGCAGCAGCAGCAACTGCAACAACAACCGCAGCAAAAGCAGGTTGCTGCTAGAACGGGACAGTTTCTGCTGCGGGATGCACTTGCATTTGGAGCTGCTTCCCCCGTGAGCTGCTGCTGCTGCTGCTGCTGCTGCTGCTGCTGCTCGTTGCTGCAGCTTGTCTGAATTGCAGCCTGCTGCTGCATGCACGAGTCTGTGTACGATTCTGCTGCTTCTGCTGCTGTTGCTGTTTCTGCTGCTGTATGTTGTCTCAGGCCGCAGGTGCTGCTGCTGACTTAGTTCCCGATGTTGCTGCTTGGGCTGCTGCTGCTGCAGCGCGGCTCCCTCCTTTGCGTGTTGCTGCAGCGCATGCTGCTGCATTCGCCAGGGCTTTGCTGCAGCAGCAGCAGCAGCAGCAGACAACGTGCAACAGCGTGAGTGCTGCCAGCTGCTCTGGCTCCTGATGTCTCTGCATTCATTTGCAGCAGCTGCTGCTGCTGTTGCTGCTGTTGCTGCTGTTGCTGTTGCTCCCCGGTTGCCTCAGCTGTTGCCGTTGCTGCTGCTTCTGCTGCAGGAGTTGCTGCTGCTTCTGCTGCAGGAGTTGCTGCTGCTGCTGCTGCTGCTTTTGAGATGCAGGCTGACGACCCCTCCGAAATTTGGGAATCGGGATCGTCGGTTATTACAGAAGGATTTGCTGCTGCTGCTGCTGCTGCTGCAGTAGATGCTGCTGCTGTTGCCGCTGCGTCAGCACCTGCTGGGCGTCCCTGCAGCCACTGCAGCAGCAGCAAATCCGCATCTGCTTTATGTGAAGAGAAGAGCGGCAGCAGCAGCAGCAACAACAACAACAGCAATAACAGCAGCAGCAACAACAACAACAATGACAGCAGCAGCACCAGCAACAGCAGCAGCAGCAGCTGCTGCTGCGGTCCTCCCCACAATGCAGCAAAGCTTGAGGTTTGTTCTCCTGCTGCAGTTGCTGCAGCAGCAGCTTCCAATGGATTGCCGCTTACTGTGGCTAGGCTGCTGCTGCAGCAGAATTCGCTGGGGAGCTTCTACAGTAGGCCTCTTGCTGCAGCAGCTGCTGCTGCTGCTGTTGCTGCTGCCGCTGCTGCAGCTACTGCTGCTTCTTGCTGCAGGGGTAGCTGCTTTAGGTATTGCCGATGGGAGTTACTGCGATAGGCAGAGCGAAGCGCTGCTGCTGCTGCTGCTGCTGCTGCTGCTGCAGAGTAGGAGCTTCTACTAGTGCTACTGCTATTCTATTCCTGCTGCTGCTGCTGCTGCTGCTGCTGTGTATAGATGAAGGAGACAGTTTTTTCTTTGATGGCGATGACATACAGCGAGAAGAGGAGGAGGAGACATGGGCAGCGTCTGCTGCTGCTGCACTCAGGGTTAGATAGCTGCTGCACTGCTGCTGCTGCTACTGCTGCTGCTGTTGCTGCGTGTCGCTGCTTCTGCCTTTTGCGGATAGGGATGTGGGGACCTTTTGGTGCTGCGGTTGTTGCTGCTGTTGCTGCAGGAAATGCTGCAGCAGGCGCAGCGTTCTGGCGTTGGTCTAGCGAAAAGACGAGCAGCAGCAACAGCAGCAGCAGCAGCAGGTTTGAAGTTCTCCATAGAAACCCCTCTCAAGCAGCAGCAGCAGCAGCAGCAGCAGCAGAAGGATTTTTTTCTGGTGCAGCAGTCTGCTGCGGACTTCATAGCTGGTGCGCAAGCACCTGGGGCCGCAACAGGAGCAGCAGCAACAGCAGCAGCACCTGCTGCAGCAACAGCAGCAGCAGCACCTGCTGCAGCAACAGCAGCAGCAGCAGTGGCAGTGAAGACGCCCAAGGGATTGCTGCTGCTGGAGGAGCCCCTCCTTGCTGCTTTTAGAGACATCGCTACGCGAGTAACCAGCGAAAATACAAAAGGAGAGACAGCAGCAAGAGCGGTGCTGCTGCAGCTGCTGCAGCAGCACGCAGACAACTGCACCATCCTGCAGCAGCAGCAGCAGCAGCAGCAGCAGCAGCAGCACATGCAGCACATGCAGCACCCGCAAGATAAAGACGAGGAAACACAGGACAAACATCAGCACCCTTCTCAGGCTCAGCAGCCGCAGCTGCAGCAGCAGCACCAGCAGCACATGCAGCAACAACTGCAGCAGCTGCTGCCCAAGTAGATACAGCACCAACCGCAGCAGCAGCAGCTGCAGCAGCAAGCAGCTGCTGCAGCTGCTGCAGCAGTAGATGTAGTACACAGTGTACAAGTAGCCGCAGCAGCAGCAGCAGCAGCAGCAGCAAATGCAGTGCCATCTGCAGCAACAACTGCAGCAGAAGCTGCAGCAAACAACTGCAGCAGAAGCTGCAGCAGTATGTGTAGCAATGGCGGCAGCAGCAGCAGCAACAGCAGCAGGAAGTGCAGCATTAGCTGCACCGCCAGCATCAGCTCTGCTTCCTCTCCGACCGCAGCGGCGGCAGCAATCGCTGCAGCAGCAGCAACAACAGCAGCAGCAGTAGCAGCATCAGTAGCAGCATCAGCATATCTTACTACTATTTGTATTTGCGTGAATTTCTCTGGTTTTGCTTTTAAAGGGTTTTTTCGTTTGCGTGGAGAGGAGACAGCCAGGGTTTAGGGTTTACGGTTTTATAGTTTAAGGGTTTAGGGTTTAGGGTTTAGGGTTTGAGGGTTGATGGTATAGGGGGCTGGAGGGCTTAGGGTCTGTTTAGGGTTTAGGGTTTGAAGGACAATTGTTTAGGGTTTGCTTAGGGTTTAGGGGTTAATTTTTAAGGTTTGAGGATTTAGGGTTTACGGTTTAGGGTTTGAGGTTGAGTGTTTAGGGTTTAGGGTTTGGGAGTTTTCTTGCATAGGGTTTAGGGTTTAGGGTTTAGGGTTTAGCGCAGGCGCGAAGCCCTAAAGAATAAAGGGTTTAGGGTTTTTTTTAATCTCTAGATGGATTAACTCTTTAGGGTTTAGGGTTTAGGCTGCTTCACCAATGGTTCAGGATTAGGGTTTAGGGTTTAGGGTTTACGGGGCCTTGTCCTGTTGAGGCTTAGGCCCCTCGTGTTCAATGATGAAGGTTTAGGGTTTAGGGTTTAGGCTAGGGTTTTAATACTTCTCTCACAGAATCTTCCCCAAAAATCAGTATCCTGAAAGAATCAGGGTTTAGGGTTTAGGGTTTAGGGTTTAGGGTTTAGGGTTTAGGGTTTAGGGTTTAGGGTTAGGGTTTAGGGTTTCGGCAGTGGTCGCATGCTGCTGGCCCATGGGCCACCCGGGTCTTGCAGTTGGGGGTTTATGCTATTAGGGTTTAGGGTTTAGGGTTTAGGGTTTTAATTAGGGTTTGAAGTCTTTTTAATATTTGTTTCTGTTTTGTTTTTATTATTTATATACACCAGCAAGCCCAGCACACCCGCACGGCTGCAGCAGCAACAGTAGCAGCAGCAGCAGCAGCGGCAGCAGCAATGTTGACAGCAGCTGCAGCAGCAGCAGCAGAAAAACAGCTAAGGACAATAGAAAGAAACCCTCGCCTGTTGTCTGGCTGCTGCGCTCTGCTGCTGCTGCTCCGCTGAAGTAGTAGCAGCAGCAGCAACAGCAGCAGCAGCAACAGCAGCAACAGCAGCAGCGGGAGAAACAGCATCTACAGCAGAAACTGTAGCGACAGGAGTAACAACAACAGCAGCAGCAACAGCAGCAGCATCCACCACAGCATCAGCAGCAGCAGCGACGGCAACAGCAGCAGCAGCAGAAGCAACAGCAGCAGCAGGAACCGCTGCAACATCAGAGCCCCCTGCAACAGCAATCACACAGCAGCAAGCTTGCTGCTGCGAGTCGGGCATCAGCAGCAGACACCGCAGCAAACGCAGAAACTGCTGCTTGTGCTGCTGCTGCTGCTGCTGCTGCTGCAGTGCTACTTGAGGGTTTGCTGCTCCCTTCAGCTGCGCCTTTATTATTTGCTGTGTATACTTCGTTTTGCTTCTTCTGTTTGTAGCTAGAGTTTCACCAACAGCAGTTTTTCTGGGCCTACGGTTTAGGGTTTAGGGTTTAGGGTTTAGGGCTTAGGGTTTAGGGTTTCCTCGCGGGCTATGCTTCCCGCCTGAAGGCAGCTCAACAGCAGCAGCAGCAGCAGCAGCAGCAACAGCAGCATTTGCACCAGGACTAGTAGCAGCGGCACGGGGTGCCTCAGCAGCGGCACGAGCTCCTGCAGCATCAGCAGGATCAGCAGCAGCAGTATCAGCAGCAGCAGCAGCAGCATCAGCAGCAGCAGCAACATCTCCTTTTCTGATGTGTGTGGTATTATATATATCTAAATGTCTGTTTATAAGGGTCTAACCCCTAAAGGGTCTCGGGCTTTGCTGCTGCAGCAAATCTCACGTGTCTCTTCAGAGCAGCAAACAGGGCGGTCGGGGGTGTTTGCTTCAGAGACAACAGCAAAAGAAGCAGAGCTGCAGTCAGCAGCAGCAGCAGCACCAGCAGCGTGGAAGCACTCTGACAGCAGCCAAAGGAAAGGAGACACTGTAGGCTTTGTGAGGCGCTCATCGGGTACACCAAGTGCTGCTGCTTCTGCTGCTGCTTCTGCTGCTGCTGCTGCCGCTGCTGCTGCCGCTGCGGCTGCTCCTGCTGCTGCTGCTGCTGTCCCCCAACTGCGTCTTCTTCAGGCTGCCACCAATGACTTCCAATACACCCCAGAGCGGCAGCAGCAGCAGCTGGAGCAATGGATGCAGCAGCAGCAGGAGCAGCAGCAGCAGCAGCAGCAGCAGCAGGAGGCGCAGTTTGTCCCCGCGTCAAAGAAGAGTGGCTGCTGCAGCCGCTATACAGTGCGTCAGCAACTCAGGTGTACATGCAGCTGCATCTCTGCCCAGATGGTGCTGCTTCTGCTGCTGCTGTAGCATGCATGCATGTTGGTGGAGTGTGGGGTGTGGGGTGTGGGGTGTGGGGTGTATCTGCAGCTCAGCATTGGATGGGTACGAGGGTTGCAGACGTCTCCGCACCCGAGCAGCGGGAAGGCTCCACGTGCAGAGTTGCTGTCTGGTATAACAGAGACAGCAGCAGGTCTTGCAGCAGGTGCAGCAGGAGCAGCAGGAGCAGCAGCAGCAGCAGGCTGTGTCTCAACTTGCTTCTCTGTTTGCTGCGTCTTCTGGTGTCCCCTTGAAGACCCCCTTGAGGTCTTCTCCATATTTCAGGGGGCATCTTGGCTCCCGGGTTGGGGACGCAGGGTCACCTCTGCAGGTGCTGCTGCTGCTGCTGCTGCTGCTGCTGCTGATCATGCTGCTGCTGATTCTGCTGCTGATAATGCTGATGCTGTTGATTGTGCTGCTGCTGCTGCTGCTGCTTCTGATCCTGCTGCTGCTGATTCTGCTGCTGATAATGCTGATGCTGCTGATTGTGCTGCTGCTGCTGCTGATAATGCTGATGCTGTTGATTGTGCTGCTGCTGCTGGTTCTGCTGCTGCTGCTAATGATGCTGTTTGATTATGCTGCTGCTGCTGATTCTGCTGCTGATCCTGTTGCTGCTGCTGTTCATTCTGCTGCTGATTCTGTTGCTGGTGCTGATTCTGCTGCTGCTGCTGACCCTGCTGCTGATGCTCACAATGCTGCTGCTGCTGCTTTCTTGCTGCTCCCGTGCTGCTGCTGCTGCCTGACAAGGCCCTCCTGCTGCTGCAGCTGCTGCTGTTGTTGCTGGGGGAGGAGCCATTGTTGCTGCTGCTGCCAAAGTAGAGGCACCATAGCTGCTGCTGCTGCTGCTGCCGCTGCTGCTGCAGTGTCTACTCGGCCAAGCGAGGAGAAGAATGCGTTGGGGCAGGATGATGCGATAGTGCAGCAGGACCTTGAGCTGTATCTGTCTCCTTCTTTTGCAAGGAGACTGAAGACGGAGACAGCAGCAGCAGCAGCAGCAGCAGGGGCAGCAACACGAGCAACAAGAGCAGCAAAAGCAGCACCGAGAGCAGCAGCAGGAGCCGCATCAAGAGCACTCGCAGGAGCGGCAGCAGCAGCAGCAGCAGCTGCAGCAGCAGCAGCAGCAGCAGAAGGGGAGGATGAAGCAGAGCCTGCTATTGCTTTCTTATCTGTCTTATTGATGCCGAGAAAGAAGACGCACTCTATGCAGCGCAGCAGCAATTGGGGCAGCAGCAGCAACTTGTTAGCACTTCCTACGAATGTAATAAGCAATGAGGAGACGCCTTTGCTGATGAATGGCCCCCAGCAGCAGCAGCAGCAGCAGCATCTGTACATCGCAGGGACAGCAGTGCTGCCGCTGCAGCTGCTGCTCTCCTGCAGCAAGAAGAGACTGAAAGCAGCAGAAGTGGTTCAGCAAGAAATGAAGAAAAGTTTAAGCGTCTCCTTTCACAGCGACTGCACTCTGAGGCCTATGACTCGCCTCAGGCTATTCTTACACGAGGTAGAGCTGTCTCCTTTGCTGTCTCCTTTGCTGTCTCTTTCTGTCCCCTTTGCTGTCTCTGTCTGTCCCCTTTGCTGTCTCCTTTGCTGTCTCTTTCTGTCTTCTTCGCTCCCTCCTTTGCTGTCTCTCTCTCTCTCTCTCTCTGTCTCTCTCTCTGTCTCTCTTTGTCTCTCTCTGTCTCTGTCTCCGCTGCTGTCTGCTTCTCTGTCTCTTTGTCTGTCTCTTTGTCTGTCTCTTTGTCTGTCTCTTTGTCTGTTTTAATATTATGTTGTCTCTGTCTGTCTCCTTTTGTCTCTTCATTTATTTTTCTGTCTCCTTTTGTCTCTGTTTGTCTCCTTTTACTTTTTTATTTCCTGCTGTCTCTCTTAATAACCTATCCAAATAAATATAAACAAATAAGTAAATATGTATTTATATGCTCTTTATTTAATAATAAATAAGATAAACATATTATTTATTTATTTATTTATTTATTTATTTATTTTTTTCAGCCTCTCTGGGCCGCACTCTGTCGCTACCGTGCAGCATATCAAGAATATAAGAAGCTGTCTCTTTCTTCTCTTTTATCTCCTAACTGTCTCCTTCCTATAGGCCAGATAGATGTCTCCTTATTTCCTAACAAGTCCCCTCCAATAGATTACTCTCTTCTCTTAGGCTCCAGATGGAGACTCAACAATCTATCAACTCTATATCAACGGGGGCCCCAAAAGGGGGGCCCCCAAAAGGGGGGCCCCCAAAATGGGGGCTCCCAAAAGGGGGGCCCCCAGGGGGTTCCACAGGGGGCCCCAGAGGGGGCCCCTCAGGGGGCCCCAGAGGGGGGCCCCCCTGATCAACATCATATGGGGGGCCCCAATGATAAGTATGAGGGTACAGGGGCCTTCTCTCAAGGTGCTCATTGGGGGGCCCCTGGTTTGTCTATGGACAAGGGGCCCCCTGGGGGCCCCACAATGGGGGCTCCCACTGCGGGCCCTGTGGGGGGCCCCCAAGAGATCATTGCGGGGGCCCCCCCTGGGGGCCCCCTTGAAGGTGAGGAGACACCTGGTGCTGTTGGTGTTGTGCAGAAGGTGGAGATAAGAATAAAGAAAGTATATAATCTGCTGCTGAGAGGAGAAGCAAAAAGTTTATTAGGAACAGCAAAGCTGTCTGTTGCTGCTCTGTGGGGCCCTGAATGCCGCAATTTGCTGCTGCTGCAGCGCAGCAGCAGACGCGTTGCAGCAGCAAGCAGCTGCGAGATTGAACCGCAGCAAATGGGGCCCTCAAGGGAGGCTGTACAAGTACTGGAGCAACTCTATGGAAGAGTATTCATTAACGGACGAGTATAACAAACCCTAAACCCTAAACCCTAAACCCTAATCGGAGCTTCGTAATCAAACCCTCTTTTCATTGTAGAGGGGAGTAAACGAGAAGTGTTTTTGCTGCTTGCAGTGCAACACCAAAGCCTCAAAGAGCGTAGCTCTAGGGTTTAGGGTTTAGGGTTTAGGGTGTAGGGTTTAGGGTTTAGGGTGTAGGGTTTAGGGTGTAGGGTTTAGGGTGTAGGGTTCAGGGTATAGGGTTCAGGGTATAGGGTTCAGGGTTTAGGGTTCAGGGTTTAGGGTATAGGGTTCAGGTTTAGGGTTTAGGGTTTAGGGTTTAGGGTTTAGGGTTTGTGTTTCAGGTGTTGCTGCCTTGTTTGCCTGGGATCGATCCCCTTCTTTGTCTTTTTGTGTGTATAAACGGGAAGCCTTTTGCTAAGCTTCAAAGGCCGTTAAACTTATACGAGTTAAATGCTGAGTTAAACAAACAAACAAACAACAGCAAATGCTGCTTGCAGCAGCAGCGCTCCTCCTGGGCTCTTACTCTTCCTCTTGTTCCTGCTAAAATACCCTCCAAACGTATCAAACCCTAAACCCTAAACCCTAAACCCTAATCGCAGCGCCTCTCTGTGTTGCTTTCACATGGCCTTCAGACCAGCACGCTAAACCGTAAACCCTAAACCCTAAAGGTCTCATTCGTTAGCATAAAAAAACGCAGATTAGCTCTCCTGCCGCGTCTTTTTCTGCAGGGCTTAGGGTTTAGGGTTTAGGGTTTAGGGTTTAGGGTTTAGGGTTTGGTGTGTATGTGTGGATTAGGTTTGGGGTCTCTATGGCCTTCTTGCGGATATCTTGAAGTAGAAATTGATAAATATCCCTGTCCAAGTTTATTTTTAAGCAGCGAAGAATTTACGAAGTTAAATTGTAGACCCTTCTTCAGAGGCATTAACGATAATGAAGCAAGAATGTGCACAACCACACGTACGCCACCCTTCTAGGGTTTAGGGTTTAGGGTTTAGGGTTTAGGGTTTAGGGTTTAGGAGGGGAAGACCGGGAAGTAGAAATATCTCTTCTTCTGTCTCTCCAGCCTTCTTCCCTTCTGGGTGATGCATTTGTATGTTTTTTTTTGTTTTTGTTTGTTTGTTTGTTTGTTTGTTTGTTTGTTTGTTTGTTTGTTTGTTTGTTTGTTTG